CTGGACAATTTAGAAGATGCTGAAATTTCTATTCATGCCATCAGAGGAACACCATCTTCACGAACAATGCGGATTAAGGGTTCGTTGGACGGGTACCCACTGATTTTGCTAATTGATTCGGGAAGCACCCATGGTTTCTTGGATGTAACTTTGGCAAGGGAATTGAATTTGCAGATTGAGCACAAGGAGGAACTCAGAGTCATGGTGGCACATGGGGAACGAGTCTATTGTGAAGGAATTTGTCGTGGTGTGGCAATTCTTATGGGTAACGCTGTTTTTACTCTTGATTTATTGCTATTATCCTTGCCGGGCTTGGGTGTTGTTTTGGGGGTTAATTGGCTACAAACCTTAGGGCCCGTCACATGGGATTTCAACTTGATGAGAATGAGTTTTATTAGGGGTGGACAACTCATAGAATTAAATTGGGAAAGAGAATCACGTATTATTTTTCCTAGGGTATTTTCTTCATCAGTTGTTTCGATAGACAGGGACTCTGAGTTGCAAAGGTTGTTAGCAGAATATCAGGGTCTATTTCAGGAACCAACGGGATTACCTCCAACACGTGATTGTGACCATCGTATTTTATTGGAGCCAGATTCTTCACCTGTGGTTGTTCGACCATACAGATATCCCCATTTGCAAAAAGATGAAATTGAGAAGTAGTGTCAGGAGATGTTAGATAAGGGAGTGATTCAACCAAGTCAGACTCCTTTTTCTTCACCGGTATTGTTAGTCAAGAAAGCAGATGCAACTTGGCGATTTTGTGTTGATTATCGCGCTTTGAATGCCAAGACGATCAAAGACAAGTTTCCAATTCCAGTAATTGAAGAGCTATTGGAAGAACTTCATGGGGGTAAACTTTTCACAAAGCTGGATTTGCATTCTGGTTACCATCAAATTCGAGTGAATCCGTATGACGTAGAAAATACTGCTTTCCGGACTCATCACGGGCATTTTAAATTTCTTGTTATCCCTTTTGGGTTGACAAACGCCCCTTCTACATTTCAAGCCCTTATGAATTCAGTTTTCAGGCCATATTTAAGGAAGTTCTATCTTGTCTTCTTTGATGACATACTCATCTATAGCCGAACTTTGGTAGAACACATTCAACACTTACGGGCAGTTTTCTCTACTCTTCTAAGTCATAATCTTTTCTTAAAGCAATCCAAGTGGAGTTTTGCTCAGTTGCAAGTGTCCTATTTGGTTCATATCATCTCTGAACAAGGGGTTTCTGCTGACCCTAGTAAAGTAAGTGCTATGTTGGAGTGGCCTTTACCTAATTCTGTCAAGGCATTGAGGGGTTTTTTGGGATTAACGGGTTACTATCATAAGTTTGTGAAAGATTATGGTTTAATTGCAGCTCCTTTGACTTCTATGTTGCGCAAGAATGCTTTTGTTTGGACAGATAAATCCAAGGCTGCCTTTGATGCTCTTCGAGTGGCAATGGCCTCAACACCGGTGTTGGCTTTACCAGACTTCTCTCGACCATTTATTGTTGAATGCGATGCATCTGATGCGGGGTTGGGAGCAGTGCTACAACAACAGAATAGGCCCATCGCTTATTTTTCTCGCCCATTGGCTGCCAGGCATGTCAAACTTCCTGCTTACGAGAAAGAATTGGTTAGGCTGGCCAAAGCATTACAAATTAGAGACCTTATTTATGGGGAAGGAGTTTTATAATTCGAACTGATCATTACAGTTTGAAATTTTTGTTAGAACAACGTATTATAACTTCTCCTCAACAACATTGGCTGAGCAAATTAATGGGGTTTGATTTTACTGTTGAGTATCGTGCAGGGCGCGAAAATGTGGTTGTTGATGCATTGTCTCGCAAGTATGAAAATTCTGTTGTTCTTGCTGCAATTTCTACTCCTCAATTGGGATTATTTGGATGATATTAAGGCTGCAATTAATTCTTCTATTGCCTTACAGCAGCTTCGTGATCAGATTTTAAATGGAGAATTGAAAGATTTTTGGTCTTTCAAAGATGGACTCCTTATCTACAAAAGCAGAATTTTTCTTCCTCCAGATTCTCCGTTCCAGGAGGCTCTCATATCTGCCATTCATCATCAGGCACATGAGGGATATCAGAAAACTTTGAGGCGTCTTGCTTCTGAGTTTTATTGGAAAAGAATGAAGGAGCAGGTTCGGAATTTTGTGCGTACTTCTTCAGTTTGTCAGAAAAATAAAGTTGAACACCTCCAACCAGCAGGTTTATTGCAGCCACTTCCAGTTCCAATTCAAGTTTGGTCTGACATCTCTTTAGATTTTGTTGAAGGGTTACCTCTTTCTCATGGGAAACTTGTCCTGTTGGTGGTGGTTGATAGATTTTCAAAGTATGCTCATTTCCTTCCGTTATCTCACCCTTATACTGTTGTTTCGGTATCGAGGTTGTTCTTTGATCATATTGTTAAGTTACATGGGATTCCAGAATCTATCGTGAGTGATCGTGATGTCACTTTTACTAGTTCTTTTTGGAAGGAATTATTTCGGCATAGTGGCACCAAGTTGTCTTTTAGCTCTGCTTACCACCCTCAATCAGATGGCCAGACTGAAGTGGTCAATCATACAGTGGAGATGTATCTGTGTTGCTTCACAGGTGACTGTCCCAAAGGTTGGATCGATTGGGTGTCTTGGGCTGAATATTGTTATAATACAAGCTTCCATTTCTCTCTTCGTGCCACTCCTTTTGAAGTTGTCTATGGACGACAACCACCTCGTCTATTATCTTATTTTCCAGGATTATCTCGAATTCAGGTTGTGGATTATCAGTTGCGTGCTAAAGATGTAGTTTTGCAGGAGTTGAGGGAGCGTCTGCTTCATGCCCAAAATGTTATGAAGACTTATTATGATTCTCAGAGATGTGTCTTTTGATGTGGGGGACATGGTGCTTTTAAAGCTTCAGCCTTATCGTCAAGTTTCTGTGGGGTTTAAGCGAAATCAGAAGTTAGCTCCTCGTTTTTATGGGCTTTTTCCTGTTATTGATCGAATTGGTTTAGTGGCTTACAAACTGCAGCTTCCTGAAGGCTCTAAACTTCATCCTGTTTTTCATGTTTCTTGTTTGAAGAAGTTCCATGGTACTGAAACTTGTTCTTCTACATTACCCGTTCTTCATAAGGGTGTTCCTATTCCAACTCCTCAAGTTGTGTTGGATTCGAGAATTAAAGACGGCCTAAAGGAGATTCTCATTCATTGGGAAGGACTTTCTCCCGCAAATGCTTCTTGGGAATCTGCGAAGCATATGCAGCTTCGTTATCCTCAATTTGCGCTTGAGGACAAGCACTCTTCAAAGGGAGGAAGTGATGTTATGATCCAAAATCAGTCTGCTAAAGTTATACCATTCAAAGTTTACCAGCGAAGATCAAAGAAGAATTAAGTTTTGACAATCCTCTGTTATGATATTTTACTAATGTTTTAGTGTGACTGTTAGTTAGTTTCTGTCAGGTGTTTATAAGGCAGAATATTATGCATATGTATTGTGTAGGTTATTGGCATCTGTTGGCCTGTTGGTTATATATATATATATGTATTATGAATAATTCAAACTGCTAAAATTTAGGAAGCAGTTTAGAAGTAGTTATTTCTATAAGTTTAAGTATTGGTTTAAGAAATAAGAAAGGTGTGGAATTTCTGATAATTCTTGAGTCTTTAAACTCTTGGAGATCGTTGGGTTCTCTCTAACGAACCCAAAAAAATTATAATCAAAATAGGTTATAAGGGAAGAAAAACTCAAACTTCTAGTAATCAACAACCAAATTTCAATGTTCAGGGTCCTATAACTAGATCCAGAGGGCCTGATCTTAACAGACCCACAGTTGGACATGTCCAATATTTGGTTTAGTTTGTTCAATTAGTAGATTCTTGAATGAAATATTGTCTTGATTGCATAGAATTGATCTTTGAGCTACACCAACGATTTTAAAATTCATGTTTTCTTTTACTTAGTTGATTATTTAACTGTTTGATAAGCTACACCTTCACCTTTGTGAATTGTGATTATGATGAAAATTTGAACTAGTTCACATTCATTCATTCTACAAGTAGTGAAATGAAAGGCCACGCATTCTCTTGGAGGGGATGAGTATTGTAAAAATGATGCGAAGATAAATTAATTTTAAATGCATAAATGGGGATGGTAATTAACTAATTATCAATCACTAAATACATCGGAAAGTCTTTTTTTTTTTAAACATAATTTATTTATTTTTTCCAATGATACAAGATCTCAATAAAACCGAAAAAAAACTAGAGTTCAATACAAGCCGAACATAAAACAACACGGGTAAAACACACTGGAAGAGTCATGGGAGAACTTCGGAAACAGTAGTCTAGAAATACAAACACACCTACACGACTAAAGCAGGAACAACTACTCATCAAGGGATGATCAAGCAGCCATCCAAGATCTCCATAACCAAGAAACATTTTAGTTAACAGTAGCTTCATTAATATTTACCAGATCAACGGAAAGTATCTACCCTTCAAAGTTATGTCTATCTCTATCACCCCTCTCCACAATTGCTTAGAGATCAAGGCTTTATTAAACAGCCTTTAAGTCATTGAAATTGGTAATTAATCCCTCCTCATTTCAAACTCACTCTTTAGGTAAAAGTCACTGTATCCCATACTTTCCAATGAACGTCTCTTTTAGGTAAAGTCATTGTATCCAAAGCTTTCCAACGAATGCCTCTTATAGATCTGTGCCTGAACTCTACCAAAAATTAGCATAGAGAAGCTATGTCTGCCCACACTTTGAACAGTCAAAATTGACAATCCTATTCTTGCTTCTCAAACCAATAGTAAACCAAAAACAAAAATTGAAGGAGAACATTTCTCGAGGACCAAACAAAACACGGGGTTCTAAAATTGCAGTCCACTTGGATAACGTGAGTGACCCCAGCCGTCATGTCACTCACTTGGCTTTACCACCATTAATATGCCACCATTTACTTGTTTAACTACCCAAATGGAAAACAATTTCTCTAAAGGACGAGAAATCACAAAACACAAATAGATGATTACAAAACAAAAATCCATGTCCAAACCCACAAGTCCATGCAAATTAAATAAAATCCATGTCCAATCCACAAGTCCATGCAAATTAAATAAAAACCAAAACCAGGCAAAGCTTCAGAGTTTTAGACACATCCAAATATCCGATATGCCAGCTAAGAAACATCAGCATAAGGCACACGATCAAACTTGCTCTCCAAATTCAACAAACCAAAAGCCTAATAAAATAGAACACTCTTAAAAGAGTACCAATTTCGAGCAATATATGTTTCAAGCCAGTAATAAATTCATTGATTCAAGGATAATGCACCCAACTGCTCGACTGGAGTGCCAGCCTGTTGTTGAGATACGTTCCTGAGGACATCCATAGCCTCGGCAACCTTAGCTTTGAGAGCTTCGGGTGACTCGAGCAAGTGCAGAACTTCTGTTTGGTCCATTTCAAGAAGCATTCCAGTAACCTTAGCAGCCATCTCAGGCTCCAATTGTTCAACGAGTGGGTACAAATTTTCACCCAACATCTGCATTAACACAAAGGATTCAAACACCAGTCAATGAGCCACCCAAATAAAAAGCAGAGACATGTAGTAATAAATGTGTTACATGTATTAAGAGAAATAAAATTTGGCTCGGCACAAACTATGCACCCCAATGTTCAGTCCATTAACAAACAACTCCATCCACATTTGATAAAACGATAATCAGTCCCCTGATATTTGTTCTAGCTCACGGACTACCCCCTTACTAGGTGTTCATATGCATATAAATTGATTGGGTTTTTCCAAAGTTGGACAAATTTTGAAAGAAGTTGATGCACTCATTCCACAATTTTGAATTTGACTAGGAAATGTTCCTCGCCAAATTCCTGATATGCATTTTCTTTAACTGGGATAAGAAACAAATATATTAATATGGAAAATAATTTACAGTGATGAGACTGAAATACCATCAACACTAATCATTGATGCAAAATATTAAACAATATTCCATCAACTTGAGATACTATATCTGGGAAAAGCTGACCAAAAAATATATGCCTTAAAAAATACATATCGTCTTGTACCAACACTTTAGGGTGTGTGTGTAAAAGAATTTACTCAAACCAAATTAATTCATACTCAAAATCTAACTCAACTTTAACTCAACCCTACTATCCTCAATATTATCAATATAATTAAATAATTGACACCAATCATTAAATAATAACCAATCATTTTTACACATCATATCAACTTTACTTCACTATTCATCCACTCACATAATTTTAACTAACCATCACATCATATCATCTCTCTCCTACTTTTACATCAAATCAACTTTAATTATTTTATTTTACATATTATTTTAATATACTCTTAAAAAATCCCACTAACAACTAACTATACTACTTTTTCTAAATTAACCATAGTTAACTAAATTAAACTCATTTTGAGTTAATTTGATTGAATTTATCCTTTTACAAACACACCCTAAGAACCAATAAGTGAAGGGCATAAAAGAAAATGCATACCGTCCTCTGTTCATTAGGAGAAGCATTAGCAAGGGCAGATGCCAAAGCTCCAATAGGAATTGGCTGAGAAATTCCTGCATCATGCATGGGAAGGCCGCCAACATACGGGACAGAGAGCATACCTCCAGGCACTCCTTGCAAGGAGACATCAGGCATACCACGTCCAGGAGGGTATGGTTTACCACGTGCCCTTGGAATCATCTGCACAGATAATAAATAAATAAATGGATTCATGAGGCATCACAAATAAAAGCTACAAGAAAGAAAACAATATATCGAACTGCCACGAACCTGTTGTTGCATTACAGGAACTGGGCCCTGTTGCATTGAAACAGTATTACCTCTCCTTCCACCAGGACGTGGTCCTTGCTGCCCTTGCTGGACCATAGGCAGGAACATATTTGGCATGAGAGGCCCACCAGGCCTCATACCAGGTACAAGCTGCTGTTGATAGCCAAATCCATGCTAAAAAGGATAAAAGAAGCATGGAAAGGCAGTTATTGACATTTTTTTATCAAGTTGCCCATGATCTCATTATTTTTCATACAAAAATATGAAACTATGCATATCACATTGAGTGCCAGTCTTTAGTAGAATGACCTTGTTGATGAGATGAAAGCGATAAATCACTTCAGGTACTAAGTCATTAGTTCCATAAGTTAAGTTATAAAACCAAAGTGTAATGCGACAACCTATAAAGCTCAATTTGTTTCGCCTGCTATCTAATCTATAATTTTCAAGAAAAGTAATTTTATATGCTCAGGAAGTTGTAGGCGTTGGTGTTTTAGAGGTTTAAGGTATATGAAAATATAAATCTTATTGATTAGAGTGTAAGGCAGATATTATTTTGAAAGAATAAAATGCACCAGATATATACATATTCGTGTACCAGATACAAGTATAAATAAACTCATATTGGCAACTCAAGAAAATTGATGAACGACTTGTAGAAACTGACATTGGGCCCTTCTGTTCCAAATATCCTCAGAGAAAGAAATTGATGAAGCAGACAAAATCCATGTTCTTTTTTCACCAGTCAGAGCCAAACATAATATGCAAATTTAAGTTTTCTTATCCACGCACACCACTCGAACACGGAATAATAAGTTACTTTCATATGATTACCATCAATAAACTAAGTAACACAAGAATTTGACTCAATATCAGAAATCCAACTGGACATGGGTCGTAAATGGGGAAAAAAGAATGGACTACTATACTTGAGAAGGAATGATTGCAGGTGGAGGTTGCCCGTAAAAGATCTGTTGCCCTAGCCCAGGACCACCAGGTGCATACATTGGCATACGAGGAGCAACAGTAGGCGCCATTGTCATCGGCCTCAGTTGAGCAAATTGTGCCTGGATAGATTCATATAAAGCTCAATCAAATTAAATCTTTGGAAGGCTAGTAACTCATGGTAAACCACTTAACTTTCCAATCAGGAGCAAAAACTACCAACAATTTACAACACAATAGAGCACTGTTATTTTGGCTTTGCAGTCCACAAGAAAGACGTGGACTTTATATAATACATTGTTAGTGGCTAAGCGTAATGATGGTCAATAAAGATACCTGCAGCCGTGCCCTTCTATCTTCTTTCCTTTGAGCAAGAGCAACGTACAGAGGCTTGTTAGCAAGCATCCTGCCATTCATCTCAGAAAGCTGCAGAAATTGTCATAGAAGTTCCCGTACTTAGTAATTTATATGGTAGATAATCAGCATAAAGGAAGATAGTGTGTAGAAGTTAACTCACAGCTCTTGAAGCCTCTTCAGGTGATGAGAATGCAACAAAGCCTGATCCTCTGCTAATTCCTTTTGGATCTCGCATCACCTATACAAACATAAGAACAGATCTCGTAAGCTATACAAACTAAAGCACTGATGAATACACCAAAGACGAGAGTCAGATAATTCCAACCAAAGGAAGAATTCAGGCACCAACCTTGCACGAAGTTATTGAACCAAATCGAGAGAATAGTTCCTTAAGCTTATCATCACCAATGCTATCATCCAGATTTTTGACATACAGGTTTGACCCCTGAGATTTGTCAACTGCTTCCTTGACACTCTGCTCAAACCGATTTTTCAGTTCCATCTCCCTCTCAGATTTCTTTTGAGCTCTCCCGACAAACCACTCCTTGTCCTCAATTGTTGCACCATTGAGAGAGTCAACTGCTCTAGCAGCATCGTCTGGATTTTCAAAGTTAACAAATCCAAAGCATTTTGATGTTCCATCTTCATCTTTCATCACCACTGTACTGGTGATGGTTCCAAATTCACCAAATATCTTCTGAAGATCCTCTTCAGTAGTTGATTCAGACAAATTTTTCACAAACACGTTAGTGAATTTAGTCTTGTCTTTCGACATCTCTCTTTCTTGCTTGCGGAGGAAGGGTCCCACATAAACTTGCTTTCCATTAAGGAGCATGCCATTAAGCTTCTCAATAGCTTTCTGGGCAGATTCGTCACTAGCATATTGCACAAATCCATAGCCCATTGACTGACCAGAAGCATCTGTTGCTACTTTGCATGACAAAATATTGCCGAAGGCAGAAAATGTATCATGCAAAGCCTTGTGGTCAATTTCCTTGTCCAAATTCTATGAAGGGAAAAAAAAAGGAGAGGAAAAAAGAAACCAATACCTTTAAGTACAAAAACACAAGGTGCCCAGGAAGTTGAATCTTACAAACTGGGAGAATATGACATAAATAGAGTGAATTTCAAATAGTACCTTAATATATATATTTCCAGCACCACTTCTTCGTACACTAGGATCCCGATGAGAATACATTACCCTGATGGGTTTCCCATTGAGAGGAGTGAAGTTCAGTTCCATCAATGCTCTCTCGGCTACAATGAACCAAAAAACTGAGTAAGTTAGGAACAAAACAATTAGCCCCTCTAAGGGCGAATATGAGAAAGAACGAAAACAAAAGAACAAATGTAGAAACAAAATAAATGTCAGCCAGACTAGGTGAAGTGTAACAGCAACCGAATGCAATTACGAGGGCAGTTCAGTGTGTAGTAATTGCAGCAGCAGCAGCAATATAATGCACAAATCATTCGCTCTACTATACCAATCACCAGATTAGCCCCTTTCTTTTTGGATGAAACATACTGGATATACATCTCTATTTAGAACCTAAACTACATAAAACTTTCTAATGTTTTTACTTCCATTCTACAAACAATCATACACTTAGAAGAACACAAACTAGTGATATTTTCACTTTCATCCTACAAATAATTATACACATGGAATAACACACTCCGCATGCACACCAGCATCAAACAATGTATTCGACCCTCAATATCATCCATTGCTTAATTAAAAAAATTCAATAAATACTTCAACTGTTTCCAGTTTGCCTGTTTCAAATTGTAAAGAGAGAGAGAGAGAGATGCAGCTCAAGTATTCAAACTAGATCGCTTATCGTATGGAGCAAATAAACCTTACCATCTTGAGGGTTGCCGAAGTTGACATAGCCATATCCAAGAGATCCCCGAGTCGTCAAATCCCGGCAAACCCTAACGGAGACCACATCTCCCATCTGGCTGAACAGATCGTAGAGTTGGGAATCAGAGACGTTCGCGTCGAGGTCGCCGACGTACAGAGAAGTCACAGACGGCGCACCGCCGGACGAAGCCACATTCACCACCTGCACCTGAGGCTGCATCTGAACCTGTGCCATTGGATTTTTTTTTTCCCTTTTCGAAGAGTTTTGTAAATTTTTTTTTTTTTTGGATAATTACTTCCCTCTCCTCTTTTTATTTTCAGAATCAAAGGAACCAAAAAATCTCATACACCAATTCAACTATTTTGACCAAAAACCGATAAAGGAAAGAAGAAACTATCTGAACTTTTTATGCGATTTTTCTTTTTCTTTTTTTTTTTCGTTTTCAATAAAGAGAGGAGAGGGAAGGATTCATAGGAAGGGTATTGGGAGTAGGGAGATAACGATCACCGCAGGTGGCGGCGACGGCGGACACTGGCGAAAATGAGAAAAGGGGAAAAATATTGGAGGGCAGGTTTTAANAGAATTTTATAGATGAAAACACTTATATACAAAAAAAAGTTCGACCAATAGCAGCCGAAACCAGCAGCCAAAGGCCGAAGCAATAAGAGATCATCCCAAAGAAAACTTAAACACTATAGACGCACCCACCAAAAACAAAAAACACCAACCTACACTCACACAATTGGAGAAGAAAGGAGAACAACAAAACCTAAAAATAACAACGTCCTCCCTCCCGGACGACATCCCCACCTCCTATGCGACCCGTCAACCATCCTAAAGTGACACACCAGGGAGAGGCCCCAAAAACTACAGCGCAGCCGGACTCTATATTGGAAACCTCCTCTATGACTCGCAAACCTGCCTCGGCCAATCCACCACCACAGCCCCTCGAAGCATACTACGGGGCCAGCACCGAGAACGCCACCACCACCGAATGTGTAACACCCCGCCTACTATTACTAGACTTACTAAAATCAGAGTAAAAAATTTTGCGCTTTATGATTTGAAAACACTTATTTAATTTTTCGAAAAACTCTACTTAATTTTTCGAAAACACTTTATCTTTCTCGCGGGAATGTTACCTTGCTACTAACTCACCCTTACTTTCTCCAGACATTTAACGATCATGCATACAACCAAACCAAGTCATACTGAAATTAAACGTGCATAGTCATATGTCTCATAATCTCACAACAAGTCTAATAATGCGGAAGCTAAAAACCGAGGTCGATGATATGCTCAAACTAACTCCCAGTTCAAATAATCTTATGACATGATTTCCAAAATATCCACTTGCTCTAGACCACCACCACTGCCGCTCACAATCCGCGCTAGACTCCGTCACCTAAAAAGAATAAATAGTGGTGGCGTGAGCAAAAGTCCACGTGCTCCGCAGAAACCAGTACTGAAGTACATATCTAATATGATAACACTACATGAATAAGCATATACGTAAGTAAAACTGACTACTACCACTCACGTTTCACCACATTCAATATAATCAAGTTGTTGATAACTGGCCTGATTAACAAGGTCTAAACCGAAGATTTACAAATATTATTCAAAGATTATTACTCAAGCCAGCTCACACGCCTATCTTAACGCAACTCGGAACAAGCTAGATATCAAACCCACTTCACACATAGATGCAGACCGACTTTGAAAATACAATTGACCTCTCGAAGATTCTTTAGTAACCGACTTCTACCTTCTCGAAGGTTCTTCCTGCAAACCGAGGTCCGAAAAAAACTGAAGTCCAAAGCAGGTGACAAGGTGTTTGCATGATTGGACCACGTGCTACACCATAATCATTACTGTCTACCTGTTGACCGACAAAAGCTACTTTGCATTAAACGCGATCACACCTACCTCGTACCGGAAGTCAAACACGCACTATTATAAATAGCAGAATTTATTATTATACGAGAAACTTTTTTTGGACGTACATTTGCTACATATATGCAAACTAACTCGGTTTACTTACATACCGACTTCTTGTACTCTGCAATTACTCAGAAATAATACAAAGTCTACTTTTTTATGCTTTAATTACATCTTGTTATAGTTGTTAAATCTCATACAACAACAATTTGGCGCTAGAGGAAGGGGTCATAATTATTTGAGGTTAATCTTCAAATTCCTACACACAAACACATACCTCTCACCAAGTTTACGTTCGTTTTCATCAACCAAGCAATCAACATGCCTGAATCCGGACAACAAGACCAGACTTCAAAGGCTGGACGCAGTCGTGGTACCGCCCAGTCTGCCGGAAGAACAACCATGCTACCAACAACACCAGATTTTGCAGCCCTGTTTCAAAATCTAGAGTTTGTGAAAGGTTTTTCTGTATTAATGGCTTAAGCGATGTCAGGGGCCTATGTTTCTGTTTCTGATCTATCTATTGTACTAGTTCTTCCGGTAAAACCACCAACGCCGCCAGCACAAGGACGTCATGCACTTGCGGCTGCAACACATGCAACCTCACAACCACGTAATGATTTGCCGCAAAAAGAAGGGGTTGTTGTTCAAGCTCATGTTGATCCTCCAGTTGTCGCCGATCAACCGGTTGCAGACCCACAAGAGATGACTGCTGAGAGTCACTCTGGTCATTATCAACGATCTTCTACAGTTGCACGACTGACATTACGGCAACCAGAAAAGCAAACCGACTTGCGTCAGAAAATACAAAAGAATCGCTCTAGACACGAGTCGGTGGAATTGGAAGTTTTGCGAAAAAAAGTTGTCGAGTTTTAGATTCAAGAAGATTCTCCCCGACATGCTTCCACGTCAGGTCATGTTTATCTCAAGGTCGATTCTCCATTGGCACTCGAGCTTACTACGGAGTCGCTATCGAGAAAGATTAAAATTCCCCAGATAGGTCTTTATGATGGGACGTCAGACCCTGACGCTCACCTCGGTCAGTACACCTCATGGATGGATCTCCATGGGGCCACATACGCACTTAGGTACCACATGTTCTCTCCTAGGGCTCAGAAATGGTATCACTCTTTACCACGCCATTCAATATAGAAATGGCAGCAGATGAGGTCGGCATTCCGATCTCACTTCATAGAAGCCCAGATATGTTTAATTCGAAAGGAATTTATTGCTAATATCGTCCAGAAGGACGACGAGAGTGTCAAAGATTACATAGCTCGATTCAACGAGCGTGTACAAAGCATGGAACAGTGTCATCCAGAAAAATTGTTGGTCGCTGCCATTGTCGGTTTAAAATTGAATTCTTTATTCCGGTGGACACTTTGTCAAAACAAGCCCAATTCATTCCAAGAATTTCTCACTAGAGCTCAACAACACATTATTGATGAGGAGTCAATGTTTGTTCTCAATTTTGATTTCTCTTTAAAGGGTCGAAGTTGAGACAAGAAGGAAAGAAGAAAAAGAACAAATTCTTTGGCAACAAGTCGGAAAACCTCAATTTGGGGGCCCCTCGAAAGGCAATTCAGATAAATCTGACACAAGAGCAGCGAAGAACAAATACGCAGACAATTTAAAGTCGAGTTATCAAACTATTTACTCGGTTCGGACTGTCACTATCGAAGAGTTGAAAGGAAAAGGAATCATTCCCTTGAATGAGAATCTCCGAAGACCGGCTTGACAAATCTAAGTATTGTGCCTATCACAAGTCAGCTGGACACAATATCGACGAGTGCCTGAGTCTGTTGTCAACATTGCTGAGGTTAATCGAAAATCTCATGTCCAAAGATTCACCAAAAATTCCGATTTCAAACATAAAGGGAGACCTCAAGCTTTTCCCGACGATGAAGAAGATGACGACAGACCAAGGCACCCGAAGAGGATCAGACAAGGGGATAAGGAAGTCTTTGTCCTTACCTCGGATGTACCGGAGACCTCATCTAGAAGAAATAACAAAAGGGCCAGAGGGAATTGTTCCCCGAGTTCTTCCTACTGCGATTTCAAACAGCTGATAGATAAACTTTCCTCCCTCACTATGCAGGAAAAAGAGGAATAGAGATGCGAGTACTAATAACCAGAAAACATCCTTAAACAGAAATTCATGGCTAAACCGTAGTGGCGTTTATATTGTAAATATGTTTTTTCGCCAAGATACAAACTTGTTCCCGGTTGTTGATAGCACTTGGAAAGTAAGTGTCAGCTCTTTTTTCCTGTGTTTGCAATCTATTTATTTATTGAAAGATGAGAACATATTTTTCCTTTCTATTGCTGTGTGAATTTCCAGATGCATAAATCATGTGCATAGTTCTTAGCTTTCCTCCTGTGTTTATCACTATTTAATAGAACTGAAAAATGTGGTGTTGTCATTATTCTGTTGTTTTTTTTTTTAAAAAAAAAGACCATTTCTTTGTTATTTTCTTCTACACATATGTATCTTAATCTCAACAATCTCCTTCCAGTTTCTCACTCGGAAGAAAAGAAAAAAATGAATATCAGTGTAATTTTAAGTAGTTTATTCAGTTGCAGCATAGGATACTATACTAGAGTTCGTCTTCGTTTCAGATTAGATCATGTGGTAGTGCTTCTATTTCTGATTTTGTCTGTGAGGCTCTACTCTTTATGCATAGTTAGGAATTGATGTTAGAATTGATGTTAGGAATCGCTGAGTGATTCTTCTTTCCTCAAGAGAAAGAAAAAAAAAAAAAAGGGAAAAATGAAAGAAATAAACAAAACGAAAAGGAAAAGAAGATTCCTCTTATAATTATTACTGTGTTGGACAGAATCAAATATCTGATTTTTGGACTCTGCTAATTATTCCTCGTATGAGTATATTCCTCATATATGAATATTACCATTATTAAACTCTGCTAACTTGGAAAAGAGAAATACATTCTCCAAACCATTGGGTGGCGTATATTCTTGGATATTAGCTATACGTAAGTGTTCTCATTCGATTTTGTAAGACCGCAGGTTTTATGCGGCCTGCCTTACGCTTTGCCAAGCAAGTTATGCAGATCAGTAAAGATGATGTAGGCTAGTTTTGATTTTCATTTTCTTGAGATTAATGCTATGTATGTCTAGCTATCTCCAGTAATTGGAGTCTCTGGAGTCTTGTGCTTCATATGCCTACTCTGGTGAGCTTGGTAAAAAAAATATTATTGTTGAATTGGAAAGAAAAAAGTTCTAACCTAATAGTGTTACTATGCTTTCCTTCTTATATTAATTTCTCTCACCATTTGATTTCTGGTTTAAGAAAAATGCCTTGTCCAACCATAAAATAACTGGCCTATTTTCAATTTTTCTTAATGAACGAATTTACTAACAAATGTCAGAAATAAAAAAATGTCGATGTAGGGTATTGCTTAAAACAAAGTACCGACGTCTACCTGTTGTCGATGGTGAAGGAAAGCTGGTAACATGATTTCTATTTCCATTTCCTGCATTTAGTATATGTGATCCAATTACCTGTAGAAAGCTAATGCTTGAGTGTTTTGTTTTTT